TCGGATGAGGGCACTGACCGCTGTCCCATCACCTCAGTGACCAGAGCCTTGACCTGGGCCTAGTCCCTACTCTGCCTCTCCTTAGCTGTGTGAGTTATCCAAAACAGGGTCTCTTCACCTCTGACAGTGGTCATCGTAGCACCTGCCTACAACGCCCATCAAACCACCACACAGAGTCCCTCCTCTGGGTGGGTGCTCACTGTCTTCCCCCTTCCCTGAGCACCTCCCTCCTCTACCCTGCTCACGCTACACTTCCTTCCAGAAAACTTCTAAGATAGCCTAGCCCCCTGAGTAACACTATACACAACATAAGCGCCATGAGATTACTTTCTAAAGATGTTTCTCCTGCCCCTCCACTGTCCCATACAGTTGTAGACAACAGAGGCTGCAGCCCTCAGCCCAGGCCTGGCTCAGGGCAGTGGGAGCTTGTTCAAGAGGAGCTGCCCAGGTAGTAACAAGAACAAGAAGCCTGGGCCACAGGGCACCCAGTGAGACAATGGAGAAAGCAAGGAGAGGAGAAGCAGAAAGAGGGAAGAGAGGCCAGGAGAGCTCGGAGATTCAAGAGCATGGTGGGCAGGAAGGAATGGACACACAGAGAAGACACAGCTGGCCAGCCAGCCCTCTTGCAGGCAAGGCAGAGACGGCAAGACAGAGGGGACCAGGGCAGAGCTGCGAGGGGGGAAAGACAGAGTGTGCGGGCAGATGGGGGTGACAAGTTGCCCCACGCTCACCTCCCCACCACCTGCCCACGGGGCCAGAGGCCAGGCTGGCCAAAGGAGGTCAGAGTGACCAGCATGGGGATGCCAGGGCGAGGGTCACACAGTGACGGGGCACAAATGAAGGCAGTCGTGAGCGAAGATGGCTAGCGGCCCCGGGAGCCTGTCTGCAAATGTGGGAGGCTCAGCTCAGAAGTCACAGGCGCTAATCTGTGCTGCACTTCTGCATGCTATCCACATGTCTGCCTGGCCCTCCTCAGTGTCCTGCTCGGCTGCACTGGGGCCAGAGTTGGGAGCAGGCCTAATTCCTGTCCTCAGAGCCTCCAGCTCTAGATTCCTCCTCTGGGCGCCCTGGAATCACTCCGATGATCCTCAGCTCCCACCCTGTGCCCCACTGGGCTGGCCCACCTGGAAAACAACTGATGGCCTCTGAATGTGGGAAGCGGGGTGTGTATGCAGTGGGGCTCTCAGGGGCTCAGGCACTGGGGGATGGCAAGAGAGGGTCCCCAAGGGAAGATGAGAAGATGCAGGAGAGCAGCCAGAGTAAGGTGACGTCTGAGTCAGCTTGGCAGCCTGTCCCTCTTCCTCCACCTCCCGGGTCCCATCTCACACACACACACACACACACACACACACACACGGGGCTGAGCTCAGAGCTATATATACCTCCCAGCTGGACGGCAGCCCCTGCTGAGTGAGGGCCCCTTCATCGACTCCCTGCGAGGTCCTGCCCTGGCTCAGCCCCCATGCCTGGTAAGAGGAGATGGGGATAAGCCAGCGTCTGGACCCCAGCAGGATCTGTAGTCAGGGAGGACAGGTGCTGTGGGGGCTGAGTGAGTCATCAGACTCATAGTGCCCCTGCCCAGAGCCTGACCCACCTGGAGCCCGGGCCAAGTAGAAGGGGGAGGTGGTGCAGGGAGGAGAGGAGCAGGCGGGGCAGGCGTCACAGAGCACACAAAGGCCGTTCAGGGTGATGGGGGAGCATCACTGGGGTAGGGGAACTGGTTCTACCCGTGGCTCTTGCACTTACTACCTAAGAGACTCTGGGAGAAACTCTTGGCCTCTCTGAGGTTCTATCTATCTCTGCATCTGCAACCAGAGATTATAATTCCTCCCTCCTCTCCTTGAAAAGATTGAAGCGATAAAGGGTATCAGAGACCACTGAGAACCTCTATCTTCCTTGGCACAACTAAGAGGCTCCGGGACCCTGCACCCCTCCCCTCCCTCCCTCCCTCCCAGGTCCTCGCCTGTGTGATCCCCCTCCTGGTCTCTCTGCACAGGAGGAGAACCACAAAAGGGACACCAACATGGCCAGGGCAGTTTGCCAAACACCATTTTCAGCCTGTTTCCCCACCACTTAACAGCTCCCCTCCAGCCAAACAATTCCAACCCAAGGCCTGCCAGAGGCCCGCAGGCTTGCACTTCCCAAACTGGCTCAGTCACAATCTCAGGCTTGCACTTCCCAAACTGGCTCAGTTACAATCATCTGCTGACTGATAACAAAGTCTCTTAACCCAATTCCTTTACATGTGAAATGGGGAGAGAAATATCTACCCACAACCACTAAATAAAACTAAGCATCCCTCCCCAGACATCCACCACCAAGTGAACAGATAAACGAACTGTGGTCTATCCATACGGTGGAACGTTATCTGGCCTTGAAAAGGAAGTTCTGACATAGGCTGCAACGTGGAGGAGCCTTGAGGACATTACGCTGACTGAACTAAGGCAATCACAAAAGGGCAAACAAACAACACCATATGATTCCACTTCTCAGAGGTCCCCAGAGCAGTAACATCCATAGAGACAGAGAGCAGAATGGTGGTTGTCAGGGGCTGGGGGGAGGAAGGGATGGGATGTAGTGTTTAGTGGGTACGAAGCTTCAGTTAGGAAGATGAAGTTCTGGGGATGGATGGGGGTGGTGGCCACACCACAATGTGAATCCACTTTCTGCCACTGAACTGTACACTTACAAATGGTTAAAAGAATATACTTTATGTTATATATATTTTACCATACATGCACACACACACACACACACACACACAAAGAAACATCTCAGCATTCAAAGTCTGGTCCACAGTGGCACCCAAATAAATGTCTGCTGATTCTTCCACATTCTGCCATCTCCACAGGTACCCTCAGCTCTTGCCCTTTCCTGAATGCCTCTTAGCCGCTTGTGTTTGCCAGAAAACTTGTGCTTGTCCCGGGCACACATCACGGCTTCCCCACAAGAGACCCTGACAACTCTCAAGCTAAACAGTTTGCCCTCCCCTTCCCCCCAACCCCTTCATACCTTCACACCTCAGCTCTTGATCAATACCCATCCCATTCTCCACTAAAGTAGTAGAAAGAGCCTAGAACATCAGTTCTCCATTCCTCTCCAGCTCTATGGGAAGAAACTATGTAAAGTGCTTGATCCCACATCTAGCACCCAACAGGTGTTCCATACACATCCACCGTCTTCTCCATGAGGCTTCCCAAGGGGCCAAAAATAAGAAGCAACTACTAGAGCAGAAAGTGGTTAGAGCAGGGGTGGTACAGGGTGTGGGGAGGACGATGCAGGGCATGGACACCTACAGAGAAGTAAGACAGACTCTGTAGGGATCCAGCAAAGCCACAGCGGTGGGGCTGGTGAGGAGAGATGAGCAGTTAGAACTTGTAACTGGTGCCCGAGGACAAGATCCAGGGTCCACCTTGCCCACCTTGCTTTCCCAACAAGTTAAAGAAAGAGAGGAATCACTCTGGCCTTGTAGGTAAAGCTGCAGGTAAAGAGTGAGTACCAGGTGCTGTGAGAGCCCTATACTCCCCAAGGCAGTAACACACAGGACCCATGTTCACTCTAGTTGAGCTCAGTTGAATAGTGTCCCCCCAGAATTCTTGTCCACCCAGAACCTCAGAATGTGACCTTATTTGGAAACAGGATCTTTACAGATGTACTAAGATGTACACTGGATTAGGTGTGACTAGTATCCTTACAAGAGGTCAGGACACACAGGGAAGACAGTCGTGGGACAACAGAGTCACGGACTGGAGTGATGCAGCTACAAGCTAAGGAAGGCCATGGATTGTGAGCGACCCAGGAGCTAAGAGAGAGGCTGGAACAGATCCTGCCTCAGAGCCTCCAAGAGGAACCAACCCTACAGACACCTTGACTTCAGACCTCTGGACCCCTTAACTGTGAGAGAATACATTTCTGCTGTGTTAAACCACCAGTTTGTGGTCATTTTTCACAGAAGCCCTCTGAGGTGAATACAGCTAGCTCCCACGAACCCCTCACAGAGCGCCCTTTACTGTGTTGGAGGGAGGGGCACCAGCGTTGGATGGGGGAGAGAGAACCTGAATGTAAACTTCTGGGGGTGGGTACCTGGCCTAGAACCATTTTGTTGGGAGCCAGGGCAGGGCCCTCTGTTGTCAATGGTGCCAACCAGTTACAGAAATCCTCCCACCGCCTGCCCAAGACCAGTGTTTCAAGCTGGGGGTCCTGGGAGACTTTCCACTGGGAAAGCCTGACCTGGGCCTTCCAACAGCTATTCAGTTTTTGGTTTTGTTTTACTTTTCCACATAACCTCTCTTCCATCCAAAAGTCAGCACAGCCCCAGGCAGACTGCTTGGTCCTTCCCACAGGGCTACTGGACATAAAGTATCTCTGAATGTTCTGAATCCTCAGCCACTCACAAAGATCAAGCCTTTCCAGATCACTCCGAGCTCAATGGGACCTTTCCTGAGGGAAAGGTCTACAGCACTCTGCTTGACTCTCTCCTGGAACACTCCACATCTGTCGTGTTGCACAGACATGTGTGTGCTCACCTCACCTACCCCCACCATATTGTGAGCAGGGTCCAGATCTTCCCCGCTTAGGCTTGGCACACAGAAGCCTCACGACTGAGTGCATGAATGAGGGAATGAGTGAGTCCAGTAACCACCTTCCTAACCTCCCTTCACAGTCAAGGTAGGGAGCTGGGAGCTCATGAAGCATTTGCCTGGGGAACAGCTTATGGGATTTTCCCAGCCTGCTCTGGCGGGAGGGGGTTATTCTCCTTTCCCAAGCCTTCTACCACAGCTTCCCTCCCACTCTAAGGCTTCTTCTCACACACCCTCCCACACTCTGGGAACCCAGGTCAGTGGAAGCAGCGTCCACCTGATAAATGCCCTAGCGGTCATTCCCCCATGCATTACTTGAAGAACCCCAAGGTTGCTGTGCCTGGCCCCTTGCCGGGCCCTATTTCCAGAGCTGGATCACGAGGGCAGGGGCCCACCCCCCCACCCCAACAGGCTCCTTACCATACATCTTGCCCTCATCCGAGAGGATGATTTTGCGGCGGCCGCAAGGGGGGTAGATGGCCAGGGCCTCCTGGAAGCTCTGCTCGATGTCCGGACTCCATACACCCTCCGCATCATTGTCGATGGGCTTGTCCAATGCCTGGCTGCCCCCAGAGACGTTGCTCCCCTCAGGGGAGTTAGGAGGGCTCCACTCGTTGGAGGTAATGGTGCCGGCCTTGCCCTCCAAGGCTCCGCTTGGAGGAGCGCCCGTTGGACCTGTTTAGGCAGAAACCTCCGCTTTGGTGGAAGAACACATGTCCGTGGGATGGGGCACCCAGGGGAGTGCCAAGCCCCAGGATCAGTTGCCCTTCCTTGCTTGGCCACCCACAGCACAGGAGCTCAGAGGGAATAAGGCCAAGGACCCAGCGGATAAGGAATGAACTGAAAGATCTGGGAGCATCAAGAGACCTGGAATCTGGGGCAGGTCATGTCCCCTCTGTAGACCTAAGCTTCCCACCCTGTTAAGCGAGCACAAACATCCCAGGCACCTGGGATGACCTGACAGATACAGGGAGGTTGGAACTCAGAACTAAATCTCAATCTTCAGCAAAAAGACAGAATACTGACAAAATATGACAAGACTGTCTGTCTGCCTAAACCCTAGGTTAAAAAGACAGTCTTAACCCATACTGCAGGAAATTCCCAAAGATAAAATCTTGCTAAAGAGGTTCTCAAAATCTAAAATTACAACATAGAAGAAAGAGGAAACAATCTACCATGATCAAAATTCAATAGAATTAGAGCCCCAAGAACTAGAGATAACTGGACTATCAGATAAAAACTATTATATAATGGTATTTCAAATAATTATCAACTTAAATAAGGAATTGGAAACATGAGAAAGAATTAGACACAATCAAAAAACACAAAGCAGACTGGAAAAAGAACCAAATAAATATTTTAGTCACTGAAGTTAAAACTCAATCGTTTGGGGCACCTGGATGGCTCAGTCAATTAATTGTCCTGCTACGGCTCAGGTCATGGTCTCACAGTTCGTAAGTTCAAGCCCCGCGTCGGACTCTGTGCTGACAGCTCAGAGCCTGGATCCTGCTTTGGATTCTGTGCACCGCCCCCCCCCCCTTCCCCACTCATGTCTGTCTCACTCTGTCTCTCAAAAATAAATAAATGTTAAAAAATATATATTAAAAAAACTCAATGGTTTAACTGAGATTAACAGCACATTAGATACAGCCGGAGAAAGAAGAACCTGGAAAAAATATCTTAAGGTATTACTGGGAAATGTATTTTTGTAATGATGATAAAGAGCAAAGGAGAACAAAATAAGGCACTTCAACATACCTCCAATTAGCATTCCAGAAAGAGAGAATACAGAAAGTGAAGTAGAACAACATTTGAAAAGATAATGGCAAGGAAAATTTTCAGAAATAATGAAATACATGAATCCTCCAATTAAGGAACCATACTGAATCCTAACCAGGATAAATTAAAATAAAATGAACACATACTGTAAGGACACTGCAGAATACCAAAAACAAAGAATAGATCTTAAAAGCATCCAGAGTGAAAAAAGACAAATCACCTACAAAGGAAGGACTATGATGTTAATTGTATATACAGATAGTGAACTTCTCAACAGTAGCACAGGAGGACCCAAGTTAATGTCTCTAAACTGTTGACAGAAAAATAACTGTTAACCCAGAATTAAAAGCCCAACCAAAATATCTTTTGAGAGTAAACATTTTTTAAAAAAAAGCATTTTTAGACAAAGATGGAGAGAATTTACTAACAGACCCTCACTTAAAAAAAAAAAAAAACAGTAAAGGAGGTATTTTTTTAAAGGGAGCTTCTAGGAAAAGAAAGCATGACACACATGGAAGAGGTGAGCAAAGTTATGGTAAAATAAAAATGAATCTAAACAATATTAACTATATAAAAACAATAACAATGATGGTGGCTACGTTTGGTCATGCAATACACACACGTGTATATATGTACATGCAAGAAAAACCATGTTTCTGAACCATACATTCTGAAGATGCATTTGCTAAAATTCCAGACCCAGTCACAATAAAAAATACTTATTAGCAAACTCTATAAACAAGGAAACTTCCTTAAATGTGACAAATGGCACCTTCCAAAACCCTACTGTGATGTTGTGATTTATAATAAGAAATGTGTATCTGGTCTTTGTCCCAGTTTCTAGCACAGAGCTTCTAAAACCCCTGGAATTTCCAAAGAGATGAGAATGATAAAGGTGTCTTATTATGTGAATGTGGTGACTTTTGGAATGCATGTATCTAAGGATGAAGGCTGGTGGTCAGGAGAACTAACCATGTAATTAGAGGGTTGGAACCTTCAGTCCCACACCACCACCCCTTTTGCAAAGTACAGGGAAGGGAAAGGGACTAGAGGTTGTATTAACTGCCAATGGCCAATAATTTAATCAACTGTGTCTATGTAATGAAGCCTCCATAAAAACAAAAAAGGAGGGGCTTCCGAGAGTTTGAGTTGGTGAACACATGGAGATTTGGGGAGAATGGCACATACTTGTAGAGGTTATGGAAGTTCTGTGCCTTCCCCCCGACCTTGCCCTATGTATCTGTTTCACTTGACTCTTCTGAGTTACGTATTTTTTGTAATAAACCAGTAATCTAGTAAGTAAAGTGTTTCTCTGAATTCTATGAGCCACTCTAGCAAATCAGTTGAACTCAAGGAGGGGTTACTAGAACTTCCAATGTATAACCAGTGATAACCTGGGCTTGCCACTGGTATCTGGGGTTGGGGGGCAGTCTTATGAGATAAGCCATTAACCTGTGGGATATGATACTACCTCCAGGTAGACAGTGTCAGAATTGAATTGTAGGACACCCAACTGGTGCTAGAGACTTGTTGATTAGTGTAGGAACGTCCTCACCCCCCAACCCCACTCACACACACGCACATTGGAACTGGTGACCAGAACTTTAACATGCACAACACTTACTGATTAAACACTAGAAGCATTACCTTAAATTCAGAAATAAGATATCACTTTCAACATTTATACTCACACTGTACTAGAGTCCTAGCCAACACAGTAGGACAAGACAGATCTCAACATTGGAAAAAAGGAAGTAAACTGTCGTTATTATAAGGAATTACAATAGAAGACTGAAGGGATTTCACAAATTACAATTACATTCTTTGATACCAGAAGTAAGATGGCATATCTTACTAATTTCTAAAAATATTCCGTCTAGAGGGGAGCCTGGGTGGCTCAGTTGGTTAAGCGTCTGACTTTGGCTCAGGTCATGATCTCACAGTTCATGAGTTCAAGCCCCACATGGGGCTCTGTGCTGACAGCTCAGAGCCCAGAGCCTGCTTTGGATTCTGTGTATGTCTCGCTCTCTGCCCCTCCCCAGCTTGCACTCTGTCTCTCTCTCTCTCTCTCTCTCTCAAAAATAATTTAAAAAAATTTTTTAAGAAAAATAAATAAATATTCCTTTTAGAAACCAAAGTAGTAATTTACCTACTGATAAATCTAACAATAGGTGAGACAAAGGAAATCATAATGGTTTTGAAAGACATAAAATGCCTAAATAAATGGAGAGGAAAATTGTGCTCCTGGATGGGAAAATATCATAAAGATGTTGAATCTTTACCAAAAAAATAATTTCAATGAAATTATGATTAAAAATTCCACAAGGTCTCAGGGCACCTGGGTGGCTCAGTCGGTTGAGCATCCGACTTCAGCTCAGGTCATGATCTCACAGCTCGTGGGTTCAAGCCCCGTGTCAGGCTCTGTACTGACAGCTCAGAACCAGAGGCTTGCTTCGGATTCTGTGTCTCCCTCTCTCTTTACCCCTCCCCGCTTGTACTCTGCCTCTCTCTCTCTCTCTCAAAAGCAAATAAAACATTAAAAAAAAAAAAAATTCCACAAGGTCTTCCATAAAACTTAACAAGCTGATCTCAAAATACATGGAAGAACAAAGACCATTCTCAAGTTGTCTTAACTCACTGTCTTCACCCTTCCTTTCTTCTCTTTGGTCTCATATTTTGCCAGACCCATTCCCTACATGTTTTCCTCAGGGTTCTGACCTGACCTCTCCTTTCAAAACCCCATACATACCCCCCTGGGGGATCCCCACCCACAGCTTACATTCCCACTGTATATTTTTGATTCCCAAATCTGTACGTCCTTCCTGAGTTTGGGCATATATGGCAACTGCTTACCAGGCAGTCCTAATCAGCTTTCTCTGAAGCTCCTCAAACTCAGCATGTCCAAAACCAAATTTTCAGCTTGCCAGTGAGTCCTGGTCCTCCTCCTCCTCCTCTGTGTCTCTCAAGAAATGACACCGCCATCCACCCAGAGGCCAGAAATCTAAGAATGTATTGACTTTTCCCTCTTATCTCCATAAATAATTAACAACCACATCCTATCTCCTAAAAGTCTTCTTGAAGCCACATCTCTTTCCATCTCAAGCCCTAATCCAAGCTTCCGCTAGTGCTCACCAGCATGACTGTGCCAACCCCATGTAGACTCCGTAATCCGTCACTGCAGCCACAGTGATTTTTCTACAATACAAATCTGATCATGTGATTCCTCTACTTAAAATCTTTCAATGGCTTTCCCATAATCTTACATAAAATGATATGTTCCACAATAGGATTTTATAAGGCCCTTCATCAACTGATTCCTGCTCTCCTGCCATACCTTCCATGCACCTACCCAGTCCTCTATACTCTCTTCTTTGCACCCGGCCCTAACCCCCACACTCAATTAACATAATAAGCTCTTTATACCTGGAAGGGCTGCCTGCAGCCTTCCTCCCCATCCCTCCCTCACCTAACTCCTACACATCTTTAAGGTCCAGCGAAAATGTCATTTCCTCTGGGAGGATGACCCAGACCTCAAGTCTGGATTAGGCACCCACCTCTGAGCTCCAACAGGTCCCCGTGCTTTACATATCTGACCCTTCCATCTCCCATGAATGATGGGCCTCCACCATACGTCAGACTCCACGAGGGTGGGGATGGTTGTCTTTCTCTAAGTCCTCAGCACATTGCACAATGTGAAGAACAAAAGAATGAATAAATGAGTAGAGATTTGCTAAGTGTTTTTTGTGAAGTAATGATTTCCCTGTGGGGAAAATGAACTGTTCTGTGTTTAGTGTCAGGAAACCAAAAAAATATCAGTAAATGTCCGGACTTTGGCACACCAGGGGGAGAGCTTCAGTTGTAGGTTAATCCCTTTGGGATTTATTTTGGAGGTTTGT